TTTTCCCTTCAACTATAATAAACATTTTAGCTGTTTAGTAATATGGGTTGACATCTGTGGTCATTTAAAACTGGGAATGCTTTGATCCAGGCTCTTCTGGCTTTCATAGTTTACACTGAAAAGTCAGCTGTAATCCCAATGGGTTTTCCTTTATATGTGACTTGTTGATTCTCTTTTGCAGCTTTCAGATTTGTCTCTTTGTTTTGTACTTGTAGTGTTTTTACTATAATGTGCCATGTAGAGTTCCTTTTCTGGTCCTTTCTGTTTGGTGTTCTATATGCTTCTTGTATTTGTATGGGCATATCTTTCTTTAATTTTGGGAAATTTTCTTCCATGATTCTGTTGAAGATCTGGTCCATGCCATTATCTTGGGATTCTTCTCCTTCTTGTATGCCCATGATTCGTAAGTTTGGTCTTTTTATGGTGTCACACAATTCCTGCATATTCCATTGTTGTGATTTTTTTAAATTTTTCATAATTTTTGCTTGAGTGGTCTAGTTTGTCCACTTTATCTTGCAGTCTTGATACTCTGTTTTCCATTTCATCATCCTGTTGTTGAGACTTTCTCCTGTCGTTTCTAATTGGCTTAATGAGTGTTTCACTTCCTTCTTCATTTTAGCCTGAGTATTCTTCAATATTTATAACTCTTTTCTGAATTCATTCAGAAGTTTATCCCTATCTTCCTTCAGTTCTTTCATTTCTTTTTTTGTGTGTTCTTTAAATTCACTGAATTTTTTTGATCATGTTTATAATTGTTCCTTTGTGTTCCATGTTCTGCATTATCTCTAGGGGGTTCTCATTGTACTCCTCTAGAGGACTATTGGTATTTGTTGGGGATATGTTATTTTGGTTTTTCATATTATTTTTCCTCTGTGATTTTGGCATGTGAATTTTTTTTGTAGTTTCTGATTCTTGTGTGAGACTCAGGCCTTCAAGTTTCGGTCTACTTCTTTTTGTGAACTTTATGTGTCTTTGTGGTTTACTTATTGGGCATGAAAAGCTGGTTCATCTAACCTTCCAGTTCTCTCTCTTGATTTTATATTGGAGTGGCCGGATTGATTTTGTCTTCAGGAGTTCCCACAGTGGCCCAATTCAGATGAGGGTCAGATGATTTTAGGCTTTCTCCTAAGGTCTGGATCCCTCCAGGACCAATTTTGGCCTCAGGAATTTGGGGGTTGGACTGGCCTGGGAGCCTGGCCCAGAAAAGATTTTGGTCTAGGGCAGCTGGTGGCCATGCCACCCAGAGATGCAAAGGCAGGTTGGCCGGGACGAGGCCCCAAGGACTCCTGGGGACTGCACTGAGGAGCTGGGTTGGTCTGGATGCAAAGGATCAGGAAGAGGAAAGCCCAGCTCCCAAGTCCAAGAAAGAGGATGGCAGGTGGTGCAGGCCCAGGGAAGCAGGGGGCGTTGAGGCTGGGGCCAGGCCCAGAAGCAGTGCTCCTGCTGCCCAGAGAAGGCACTATGTTGGTTTGGATGAAAGGGGTCAGGAAGCAGTATAGGTTCCCCAGGTGTCTGGGGCCCCCAAGACAAGGAATGGGGCAGGGCCCAAACTTGGAGGAGAGAAAGGCGGGGGAGATGGGAGGGTGAATGGGGGTGGGGGAGTCAAGGCGCTGGAGGGCGTCATGGACTTATCTTGGAGAGAGGTCTATGGGTGAGAGAGAGGCCTGCTGCGGGTGGTGCATGCCCAGGGAAGCAGGGGGAGGTGAGTCTGGAGTTGTTTTTTAAAAAAATGTTTTATTTTTATTTTATGTGTATGAGTATATTTCCTGCATGTGTGTAAGTGCACCCATGTCATGCAGTGCCCACAGAGGTCAGAAGAGGGTGTCAGGTTCCTCTGGAACTGGAGTTACAGATGGTTGCTAGCTGTCATGTGGGTGTTGGAAACCAAACCCGGGTCCTCTGCAAGAACAACCAGTGCTCTTAACCACTGAGACATCTCTCCAGCCCCTCATTTTTGGAATTCTTGAGGAAATAGAATATGATACAGTGTTAGGGATCTCTTTTCCTTTTGTCTGTTCACACCAACTGAGTTGCCTTCATTCAAAAACCAAGTAGCTTCGTCCTTGTTGACTATAGCTCACAGGTGCCTCATGACTGAAGTGATACGGCCTTTGCTCATAATCAACTTTATTTCATCTTCCACAATTCCTCAATGTGTATTCTAACTCCTCCACTAATGTCAGCCTACATTCTACCCCACACTCTTCAAATTATGGATCCAATGTTTTAGTGCCTGTAACACAGTATTCTTTAGCTATAACATTTCCTTTTATTCAGCCTGGAACACATTCCTCACCCCTTGTTCCAGATTTCCAGTTCATAACTGTCTTTTGTTATACTGAAACCATTAGCACTTATATATTGCTTTAAATTATAAAATTATATCTGAGTTAACATTTGTTTTCTCTACTAATTCTAAATTCTTTGTGGGCACAGATTTGATTTTTGTATTTTCATGTATTGCCACACTTCTTAGGATGTTATTGTGCATATTTTCAATGGTTAATTATACAATCATTTAAATATCTGTACTCCCTATATAACTTACATATACATTTGTGACTATACTGCCTAGTATTAAATTATCTACTGGCAATTTTTTTCCCAACAAATTTAAAGAACTAGTTGGTTTTCATTAGCATTTAATGGATCTCACAGCATCTCACCTCTGAAATAAAAAACTGTTCTTGGGTCAGTGATATGGATCAGCAGGTAAAAGTACTTGCTGCCAAGCCTGATAACTTGAATTTGAGCCCCAGGACTCATATAGTGAAAGGAGAGAAACAACTCCTGCTAGGTGTCCTCTGACCTTCACACATATACTATGGCACTCACATGTCACACATGTACTATGGCACTCACATGTACACACACACAAATACATGTAATAAATAATACTAATGATGATGATGATAATAATAATAATAATAATAATAATAATAATAATAAAGTTCTCCTGTTACTAACTTCAGGTTCAGTTACCATTTGAAAGCCAGTTCTTGGGAGAGTTACTGGGAAAGGAATGAGGTGTATTCATGAGGTGGCACAGGTATCGGGGATTTAGTTCAGTGGTAGAACAGTTGTCTAGCAAGCACAAGGCTTTGGGTTCTGTCCCTAGCACATGTTTGGTGTGTGCACTCCAAAAAACACATGCACACACATACACACACACACACACACACACACACACACACACACACACACACAAACATGGCGGGGAGAAATTGAGAACATAAAAGAACTTTCTATAAGGAAGAAAATAGGGAACAAGGAATACTGGGCAGGATACTTGCTGACATCATTTAGAGTATGAGTCTCCCTTTTCCTCTGGTGGGTTCGTAACAAATAGATCTTGACTAGTTCGGTAGATCTGAGCTAGTTCCTGTAGTTCTTTTTAAATTTTACTTTAGTTTTATAGATAGGATTTTACTTTGTAGTCCAAGTTAGCCTGGAACTTTTGACAATCCTTCCTAGACATCCTGAGTGCTGGGGTTACAGGCTTGAGTTATCATGCTTAGTTCCTGTAGTTCTTTAAATAGACATACCACTTTTCTTCCTGTTTTGTTTTTGTCTTTCTGTGTGTTCAAGGTGACTTTGAACTCACAATTCTCCTGCCTTGGCTCCCCAAGAGTTGGGATTATAGGCATGTGCCACCATGTCAGGCTGACATACTACATTTCTGCAATTTAAAATTCACAGCAATGTGTCTGCTTTGTGTTAGTTGAATTAAAGAATAAGAAAAGATGTGTTCACATTCTGATGTTATCTGAATGTCAGTAGGTGTTCTGAGTTCTACAAACCTGGAAAACTATATTATTTAGCACGTAGGATTTTAATCATTTTGGTATAGCTTCTTTAAAGAATGTATAGGGGCTGGAGAGATGGCTCAGCAGTTAAGAACACTGCACTGACTGTTCTTGCAGAAGACCCGGGTTTGAATCCCAGCCACCCACATGGCAGCTAACAACTGCCCGTAACTCCAGTTCCAGGGGATTTGACAGCTTCTTCTGTCTTCCACGGCATTGCACGACACTGGTGCACTTACCTACATGCAGGCAATACATGCATACACATAAAAAGAATGTACAATGCTAGGCAAAGGGAAGGAAAGTAACCTTGTAAAAGGGAAATTCCAAAGGAGCAGCCACTGTTACATTCAGATGATCTGAGCAAATGGCAGAAGCTGGTTACACAGGCAGAAAAGGGCTGAAGAAAAAAGGACCAAAAAGTGGATGAAAGCTCTGGGCATGCTGGCACACACATAGAATTCCAGTACTTTGAGGCTGGTTTGAGCTACATAGTGACTACCAGGTCAGCCAGGACTACAAAGTAAGACATTGTCTTAAAAAAACAAAACAAAGAATAAAGCTGAGTGTGGTGTCACAGCACTCAGGAGGGGGAAGTGGGAGGACCAGGAGTGTGAGGCCATCCTTTGCTATATAGCCAGTTTGGAGGCCAGCCTGGGTTAGGAGACATCCTGTCTCAAACAACAAACAAATGAAAGTGAAACTTATTTTCCTTAGAGGGTTAAAATGTAGGGCTCTTAAAAATAATTATACTGGCCCAGGTAGTATGGGCATTTTCTGATTAGTTGCTGTGAATATCTTGGGTGTTTGTGGTGTGGCTGCTGTTGTTGTTTTAAAGAAAGCAATGAGCACCCTTGTGATGTCCAGCACTGGGCTCTGACCACCTTAAGGACATGGTGCTCCCCTAGGACCATTGACGCCCAGAGGTCTGAGGGGCCCTGACTTGAAGAAGGCGGGGATACTGACCCATTTGAAGTTGAGTTTGGCATGGCATGGCACATATCTAGCACTTAGAAAAGTGAAGGAGAGGATCGTGAGTTCGAGGTCAGTCTGAGATACATAGTAAGACAATGTCTCAAGAGAAAGGAACATACTAATAAATGCATATTTTAAAAAATGTTCAGTTTGTTTACTGGTGCCTAGGACAAGTGACTTCACTCTGGTCTGGTCTGTTGGATCCTACTACAGGAACTCAGAACAAAAGGAAGGCTTACTATAAATTATATTTAACACTGATTTGTTTTCCATGTCTACGTCACCCCAACTGCTACGAATACCTGTTACAAAGACCTGTGCTATACTGTTTGCAACCCTTTGTGGCCTGACAGCATGTATTCGTTCACATGCTCATCAAATAAGCAGTTTGATGTTCTGGATCGATCTAATCTAGGTTGTGTGTAGCTGTGGCAAGGAACATATGGCCTCTTTTCGGCGATTAGAAGGAATAATTATTATTAGATATATTTTCCCCACTGACTTCCAGGTGTCTCATTCCCAGGGACGCTCTGGCAGGCTGGGGCAAGCTCGGAGGCCATCTTTGTGCCGGGCAGCTCCCACGTGACACGGCGTCTTCCGCCTTCCCGGTGCTGGGCGGTGCTTCCGCCGGCGTCCGGCGGGGAATCCGTAGTGGTCAGCTAACGATGGAGCAGCGATCGAGCTGTCTGCTTGGACCATGGATGCTGTTACTGCTCCTGTCCCCAGTTCAGGGCCGCCAGAAAGAGTCAGGTGGGCTCCGGACAGGGCCGAGCCAGCCGCTGGGGCTGCGGGTCTGCTCGCGGTCCAGAGGCACGGGGGGTGGGGCGGGGGATGCTGTGCGGCTGCAGGGCAGAACTGGGCAGCTGGGACCTGGTGGTGGAGAGCAAGGGTGTCTGGGTCTCTGCTTCTTGACCAGGACCCTGGAGAGTAACCCATTCTCCGGATTTGGGGTGGGAGAGGGATGTATCCTGTTCACCTGCGGGAGACGCCACTGCGCAGGGCTGTTCTGGGCCACCCTAGAACACCCTGCGGGGAGAGGGCAGGATGTGGGTGTTTGGCCAGAAGAGACGAAGGGAGGGTTAATGGCTGTAGTTTTGCATTGATTCTCTTTAGGGGGCTTGATTAGAAGGTGAGAATCTATGTTGCTGTCCAGTTTATCCGTAGCCTTCTGATGGCCAAACATTAAGCTTGTGACTTTTCCAATTTCTTAGATACCTGATGGCCCAGGTAGAGGAGCAGACTTGACTCAAGCCCCAACAAGTTACACAAGGAATCCTTGGCATTTCATTTCCACTACTGAGACAGGAAGGGGATTTCTCCAAGTTTTGGTCTTCTGTTGCTTCTGCCTGCTGCTTGCAATGAAAATGCCAGGGTTATTTTGTTAACACTCATTTCCTTCGCTTTTTGAAGGCTCAAAATGGAAAGTATTTATTGACCAAATTAACAGGTCTTTGGAGAATTATGAACCATGTTCAAGTCAAAACTGCAGTTGCTATCACAGGTGAGTTCACGGATCTGTCTTTGAGAGTTGAATACTTGTCACAAGGACCTATCCTAGAACCTCTGAGAGACCTTGGTTGTATTTATCAGAGATCCAAGTTTGTCTTAAGAACAGAAAGGGTACCTGACGTGGCTCTCCCAAGGGATGAAAATGTCCTGGGATAGGAGAGGCCCAGTGGTACAGCATCACCTCTATTCTATGTGGGATTTAGCACATGGGCTTTTCTGTTTTCCCCATAGATTGAAAGCTTCCTATGATCTGAGTCTATGTCTACTATTGTCATCTCTGGTGCTGGCCCTCAGCAAGTGCACTCAATAAATATTGTTGAAGGAATGAGCATATTTATCATCTAATATGATCTAATCAGTATTCCCTGTTGGTTTGGTTTTTATCTTTTAAAGTGTATGAATTATGGGGCTGGAGAGATGGCTCAGAGGTTAAGAGTACTGGCTGTTCTTACAGGGGACTCGGGTTCAATTCCCAGCACCCACACAGTGGCTAACGATGGTTCATAACTCCAGTTTCAAGGGATCCAACACCCTCTTCTGACCTCCATGGGCACTGCATGACACAGGTGCACTTCCGCACATGTAGGCAATACATACATTCATATACACAAAATAAAAATAATAAATACATTAAAGTATGAGAATTAGGGCTGGAACTTGTGGTAGGAAGATAAGTACATTGAAAGCAGACCTGGGTTCTAACCCGAATCTCCCACTAACTACCCCTGCAGGAAGACATGAACTTCTCTGAAAGTTCCTCATCAGCTAAACAGCAGAGTAGTAGTTATTCTGATTCTCAAAAGTTCACCTGGTGCTAATGATATTTATTGAAATATATTTTGTACTGTCTTTAAAAAGAGATGCATTTTAAAATTTTTCTGTTACTGTAGCATATGCTGGGGGACAGTAGGACAGTGTTAGACCATGAACTACAAACCCTACCTGTGTATCCAGGACAGGGACATGTGTAGGACTGCAGGGGCTTGTAGGACATGGATGTACCATGGAGGAATATGGAACAACTTAGGAAGGGACAATCCTGATGGGGGGAGGAAGAAGAAATACTTGCTCTTCTTGTGGCTTAGTTGTGTTTTATATTTTACTGTTGTGGTGCTGAAGATCAAACCTAGTACTTTGCCCAGGCTAGGACTCTACCACTGAACTACATCCCCAGCTCCCATGTTTAATGTGTGTATGTGTTATATATGCACAGATGCATGTGCCTATCAGGTGTCCTATCACTCTGTTTTATTCTTTTTTTTTTCCCCCCTTCGGTCTTTTTGAGACAGGGTCTCCCTGTAGCCCCAGCTGGCCTTGAACTCACAGAGATCCACCTACCTCGGCCTCCCAAGTGCTGGAATTAAAGGCACCACACCTGGCTGTTTTATTATTTTGAGACAGGGTCTCTCATTGAACCTAGATCTAGACTGGTGGCCAGAAAGCTTTGGTGATCCTCCTGTCTTCACCCTATACACACACACACACACACACACACAGAGGGCTGGAGTTAGAGCTATTTATGTAGGTACTGGGGATCTGAACTCAGGTTTGGTGTTGGCACAGCAAGCATTCTAACCCACTGAGCCACTGCCACTGTCCCTGAGTTTGATGTTTTTCAATTACCCACAGTGCTTCTGTGGAAGAGTTGCTTATTCCTCCCCTCTACTTTTTTCCAGCTTAGTGTATTCTTTAAATATCTATCCACTTAGTGGGTGGAGAGATGGCTCAGTTGTTAAGAGCACTGACTGCTCTTACAGAGGACCTGGGTTCGATTCCCAGCACCACCCACATGGTGGCTAACAACCATCCATAACTCCAGTTCCAGGGGAATCCAGTGCCCACTTCTGACCTCCATGGGCATTGCATGGAATGGGTGCACCTACACATATGCAGGCAATACACTCATACAAATATAATGTTTTAAATATATATGTACTTAGAAGTAGATGAAATATCACCATTCTCTTGGCCCATTCTTTCAGTGTCATAGAAGAGGATCTGACTCCTTTCCGAGGAGGCATCTCCAGGCAGATGATGGCAGAGGTGGTCAGACGGAAGCTAGGAACCCACTATCAGATCATTAAGAACAGATTATACCGGGAAGATGACTGTATGTTCCCTTCCAGGTAAGATGAAGATATATCTTCTGACCTTACTGCATCTAACCTTACATGGTACTGCTCTTAGAGGATACCAATTTAGGGGTTACTCTTTCCTCACATTTCAGGGGACTACAAAGTATGTACAAGCTCCTTACCTTGTCTGGGAATATTTTTTACCACCAGCTCTTTATGTGAACCTATTGTCTCTCCCTTCATTATGTTAGAGCACATCACTAGATGTGGTATCTGTGGCTCTGACCCTTCTCTTCCTTCCTTGGCTCCACAAGCTGCAGGGCATAGGCTAATGAAACATGGCAGGGTGAGATGGCCTACAGAGGGAAGTTTATTTGGGCTTATGGTTTCAAAGATTTCAGGCCGTGGTCAGTTGGCTTTCAGGCTTTTGGGTCTGTAGTGAGCAAGCACATCATGGAGGATAGTGCTGGAGGAAGCAGTTTACTTACCTCATGTCAGGCAGGAAGCAGGGGGAGAGAGAAGGAGGTGGGAGCTCCCACAATCTCTTTTGAGGACATTTCTTTAGAGATCTAAAACCACTCTACCTCCTAAATGTCCTCCATTACTTCCCAATAGTGCAAAGCTGAGGACCAGGCCTTTGTTTATTATATTGGCCTGTGGAAGACACTGCAGATTCAGACTACATCAGTGTTCTTGTGTGGGAAGCAAAGCTTGTGGATCAAAATTAGGAAACAAGCTCTTCTAGTTCCTATATCAAAATTTGCATCTTGTCTACTAATTTAAAGTATTATTCTGTGAGAAGGAATAAAATCCTGACAATGAACAGAGAGATGATATAAGTAAAAATGGTATTCTCTTCAAAGTTAGGATTTATTGGAGCAACTTAGCTAGGAATGATAACTTGTACCATGTTAAAAAGTGGCATAGCCGGGCATGGTGGTGCATGCCTGTAGTCCCAGCACTTGGGAGGCAGAAGCAGGCGGATCTCTGGGAGTTCAAGGCCAGCCTGGTGTACATAGTGAGTTCCAGGCCAGCTGGGGCTACAGGGAGACCCTGTCTCAAAAAAAAAAAAAAAAAAAAAAAGTGGCATAGTCCCTTGAGAAGCATCACTTTCAGGAGTCTGTGCAGTGGGCTGATGATCTGAGTACTGGCTTGTCTCAGTGTCATTAGGACCGTTCCTTATCCTAGAACTTGCAGGCACTGCTCTGGTGATTTTGTGGGTTTTTTTCTGGTTGACAGATGTAGTGGTGTTGAACACTTTATTTTGGAAGTTATTCGGCGCCTCCCTGACATGGAAATGGTCATCAATGTACGAGATTATCCTCAGGTTCCTAAATGGATGGAACCTACCATCCCAGTCTTCTCCTTCAGTAAGGTAAGCACAAGAAGAGCCACATGGAGGGATGGAGGGTGATCCTCAAGTATGAACAAGAGATCACTGTGCTCTAGCAGAGCCTGATGGATACTCGTAAGGATGAGGCCAGAGGTCTAGGAATGGACCTAGTCCTTGTGAATTCACAGTAATCAAGCAATAATGCTGAGGAGATAGGAATTGAAGACTCATAAGTAATGTAAGATTTCCTGTTTCTAGTCTATAGGGCTAGGAATGGACGCTAAGGAGAAAAATGCTGGGGGAGCTCAGGGAGTCCCACAGAGCATGGGGAGAGAGCACCCAGGACAACTCATAGCCTCGGAGTGAGGGAATGCATTCATCTGAAGAATATTTCTTGCATTCCTACAATGTATGTACTAGCTAGTGCTGAGCATTATCTGTCCTATCTATGACTATATCCCAGGCACCCAACATGGCTGAAAAGGAACCTGAAAGTGCCTTGCAACTCCACATGGTTTATTTCTAAATTTCTCCACATGGTTTAGTACACTGTGGAGATATACCTGGGGTAGCCAAGATGTTACGTGAGGGGGAGTGTTTGGGTCCTATTGGTAGGATAGGAGTAATTGAGTAACACTTGTGAACTTGGGTAACTTGGGATGGTGACTAGCTCAGATTCAAGTAAATGGTATATTAGCAAGAATGGGTCTTGTTCTGTAGAAACTAAGTATGAATACATTTGATGTTGGGGCTGGGGAAGCTATAGACAGTGTGACCTTTGGAAAAAGGAACATGATCTCTGATATAGTTTCTCTAATGCAATATTCCTACTTTTTCTTTTTGTATGTGTATACAGTTGCACATGTATGTATGTATGTGTGCTTGGATGCCAGAGGCCAACCTTGGGTGTGGTTCCTCAAGAGTTATCTACCTTGGTTTTTGAGACAGGGTCTCTTACTGACCTGGAACTTGCTGATTAGGCTAGGCTGGTTGGCCAGAGAGCCTCAGGGACTCACCTGTTGTTGCCTCAGCCCTGGTATGACAGATATGTGACACTGTGCCCAGCCTTTTAATGTGGATTCTGGGGCACAAACTCAGGTCTTCATGCTCTTAAGACAAGCACTTTACTGACGACTCTCTCCTCAGCCCCTGACTTTTTCTTTATCACAGTGTACTTTCGCTCTAGACTTATTTCCTGTGTTGCAAGTAGGCTGAAGCTACACTTGTATTCCACTCCTCACAGTTTAGTCTTATTTCTCAAAAGTGCTTGAGCCTAGTGTGACCATCTTTACTTCCCTTCTGTTTTATATAGTCACTGACTCCAGTGTCAAAGGAGGGGTTTTAGTCAACTTGGGTTAATTGTGCAGCTTCTGTTGAACAGCTGCTTTGTTTGAGTGCTTGATGAATCACATATTTTTTTAAGTATCTGAGAGAAGTCTGACAGCATCCTGCACATACAATCCCAATAAAGAAACAGTAGATTTGGGGCTGGAGAGATGGATCAGCAGTTAAGAACACTAGCTGCTCTTGTAGAGGACTGTAGTCCAGTTCTCAGCACCCGCATGGTGGCTAACAACCGTCCATAACTCCAGTTCTAGGGGATCTGACTCCTTCTTCTGTCATCCTCAGGCACGGCATGCCACAGGTACATTTACACACATGCAGGCATAACACTCATGAATCAAAAATTTTTTAAAAAGTAACAGTAGATTAGAGGTTTTCCAATGGCCACATATTTAATAGAGTTAGCCATGAAAAGGGAGCAAAGTGTTTCAAACTTTCACCAAAAGGTGTGTGAGCTGGATGTGGTAGCTTGTGCCTGTAATCCCAGCAATCAGGAGGCACTGTGCATTTGAACCCAGCTCCATGCCAGCCAGGGTCACATAGCAAGATCCTATATTAAACAACCCCCCCCAAACATGTGTGATTATATGCTTTACCCACATTCTCCCATTCTCTCCATTGCCCTACTGACCCTGATCAATGAGTAACCAAGGATTTATTGACCAGCCAGTGGGAGCTCAACAGTGTCAGGTAACTAGGTTGTGCTTACTAAGTTCTTATTATATACCAGACACTGTCCTTTTTTTGGTATTGAAAATAAGCCTATAGATAGAATTAGTGATACTGTCCTCTCCACTATGATGATAAGGAGATTGAGGCATAGAGAGCTCACTCATAGATGGGAAGATGTGGAGTCAGCATTTAAACTAACATGATCGGGTGTCTTAACCAATGTATATTTCCTGATTCTTGCTCTCAAAACACCCCCTTGGAAATAACTAAGAACTGGTAAGACACGGTATAATGGCAATTAAATTATGAGGGAACTTTGATTATTTGGAATTGGGAATATTATTTCCTTAAAGATCTTAATAGTGTATATCCTCCCCCCAAATCCCCCAAAACTTCAGAATTTGGGGAAACTGAAAAACTTGCCCTTTAATATGATTATAAATTCTGGGATTCAATAGGTCTGTTAATTTTAACCCATGGGCATTTTTGCCTTTTAATAACTAGAGTCTAGACATAAGAGGTAGTAGGGGTTTTTTGGGCTTGTTGTGGTGTTGGGAATTGAACTCTGGGCCTCATGCATGCTAGGTAAGTGCTCTACCACAGGGTTATATTCTCAGACCTAATGACTTGAGCCTAGACCTTGCAGATGAATGAAATATTTAATTAACAAGTGGACACTATGACAAGGCCTTTGCCTTCTCCTGTGTAATGAATTTAGTTGCATCTTACTCTGTTTTAAGACTTACTTAGAATGCCTCTGTTTCTGTCAAAGACAGTGGAGTACCATGATATCATGTATCCTGCTTGGACATTTTGGGAAGGAGGGCCTGCTGTGTGGCCAATTTATCCTACAGGTCTCGGAAGGTGGGACCTCTTTAGAGAAGATCTGGTAAGGTAGGTCCTTTAGAAAGGCTTTGTTTTTTCCTCTTTGTGGGTTTCTTGAAATAAGCAGTAGAATATAGCATGTGCTGGTTAGTTTTTGTCAACTTGATATAAACTTGAGTCATATAGGAAGAAAGAACCTCAACTGAGTAATCGTCTCCATCAGATGGCCTGTGGGCATGACTGAGGGGCATTTTTGATTACTAAGTAATGTAGGAGGGCCTACCCCACTGTGGGAGGTGCCATCCCTGGGCAGGTGGCCCTGAGCTGTTTAAGAAAAGCAACTAAGCAAGTCAGGATATGCACGTCAGTAGGCAGCATTCCTCCATGGCCTCTGCTTCAGGCTCCTGCTTTCAGTTCCTGCCTTGGTTTCCCTTGATGATAAATTGTAACCTGTAAGCCAGATAAACCCTGTCCTCTCCCAAGTTGCTTTTGGTCAGTGTTTTATCACTGCAGAGAAGCAAACTAGAACACAGTGAGTTATTTAAATTTACTGCCTGGGCTGGAGAGATGGTTCAGTAGGTAAGAGTGCTTGGCATGCAAGCATGAAGATCTGAGTTTGGGTCCCCAGCGCTCATGTAAAAGTCAGGCATAGTTGTGTGTACCTGTAACCCCAGTGTTGTGGGGCAGAGACAGGAGGATCCTAGAAGCTCACTGGCTAGCCAGCCTAGCCAAAATGGTGAACTATAGATTCATGGGACTAACATAGAGACAGATACCCAATAACCGCCCCCACACACACAAGCAATTTTATGTGTGTATAAAAATATTTATGTTGGGCCTGGGAATGTTGGTAGAGTACTTGGTAACATGTGTGAAACCTTGGGTTTGAGCCCAGCATTGAATAATTTGGACATGGTAACATATGCCTATAATTCCAGCACTAGGGAGGTAGTGGCAGGAGGATCAGAAGTTCAAACTCAACTACATAGTGAGTTTGAGGCCAGCCTGTCTCAAAATAAAAAATGTATATGTCTGTCAAAAGGGGCAGAAGAATCTATCCTAAAGTGTCAGCAATGCCTCCATGGCATGGATTATGGGAGTCTTGGTTTTCTTTAATTTAAAACTCTTTTTTTGGGGTCTTGTTTGAGACAGAGTTTACCTATAGCCCCAGCTGGCATGGAACTATGTAGACCAGGCTGGCCTTGAACTCACAGTGATCCACCTGCCTCTCCCTCCTGAGTGCTGGGATTAAAGACATAAGCCACCATGCCTGGCTTCAATTTAAAATATTTTTAATATATCAGTCAGGGGCAAAGCAGATGGTGTCCTTTGTTCATCCTAGGTTGATGCCTGGCTTGGTGGCCAAAGCTGTTTCATGCCTAGGGCATATTAGAAAATTAAAAAAAAAAAATTTCTGTGTATCAGTGTTTTCCCTTTATATGTGTATGTGTACCACATGTGTGCACACTGGTACCTGCAGAAGCCAGAAGAGGGCATCAGATCTCCTGGAACTGGTGTTATAGACAGTTGTGAGCCACCCTGTGGGTGCTGGGAACTGAACCTATGTCTTGTCCAAGAGCAGCCAGTGCCCTTGAGCAATCTCCAGCTCCATTTTAAAACATTTTTTTCATATTTTAAATATTCTTGAGAGAAATACTTTTTTTTTTGGACACAGGGTCTCACTTAGAACCCCAATCTGGCCGGGAACTCATTATGTACTTCAACCAGCTTCAAATTCAAGTACTCCTCCTGTCTCACTTCCAAGTGCTGGGATTATAGTCATGAGCAACCACACTCCACTGTGAAGTACTTTCATAATACGAGAATGTAAATTAAGTGACCATATTGTAAAGAAGGGTGGACAATTATTTGTTGAAACAGGGTCTCACTTTGCAGCCTAGGCTGTCCTTGATCTTGCTGAGTAGCCCAGACTGTGCTCAAACTCATGATCCTGCTGAATATTGAGATTTGAGCTCCAAATAATAGAATTATAGGCAGGTATCACCGTGCCTGGCTTCAGAAAATAACTTAGAAATGTACTTAATAATTTGGTGCTGACATGGGGTTGTAGTAGTCCCATGGGTATATCAGGACAAACATATTCCAGACCCTCTATTCATAACTGAGACATGCCTATTGACTCCATCTTACCATGATTTCAGGATTTAGATGGTCTCATCTTCTAAATTTATTTACTCAGCTATATTTTACATTAATGACCCAAACATCATTAGTGTTTCCTCCATGTTGCCTCAACCCCTGGATGGTCTTGCTAGGTAGACCAGGCTCACGCTCATCTTGAACTCGCCAACTTCTTGCCTCTGCCTCTTGACTACTAGGATTGCAGGCATGCAACCCCATACATGGCTTAATGGTGCTTAGTTAAGGATCTGCTGGAAATAGTCTTCATAGGTCTTCTCTAAAATGTAGGAAAAACAATAATCTAATCATCTTCATTTCCACCTGTTGCCTTTACAAGTGTGGCTGGAGATTCAAGTGAGGCTGATTAAAATACAGAAAGGCCTATGTAGGCATTTGCCTCTATAATTTCTTAGTGTATATTTCCTAATAAGACTGTTATGGTTTCTGTTTCATAGAGCAGAGCTGCTCAGTCTTGGGAATACTCAGATTTTGGATGGGTAATGCTTTGTGATTAAGAGCTGTCCTCTGTGTTATAGGAGGTTTAACAACTCTTGTCTCTACCCGCTAAGTGCCAGTAGTGATTCTCCAGAAATAGCTCCTAACTAGGGGAGGGGTAGGAGAACAAAATTAGCCTCAGTGATGGAGTAATTACCCAGCACATACAAGGTCCTGGCTTCAAGGTCTAGGACTGCAAAGAAGGAGAGAGGAATCCATTTACGTGGAGAAATGGCTGGAAAGCAATTCTTTTTTTTTTTTTTAATTATTTGTTTTTATTTTTGAGACACGGTCTCATGTAGCCTAGTTTGACCTCAAACTCACTGTGTACTGAAGATCACCCTGAACTCCTGATCTTCTTGCTTTCACTTCCCCAGTGCTGGGATTACAGGTATGTGCCACCAGAAAGGACTATGGGAAAGAATTTTTTTTAAATATTTTATTTATTTTTAAATTTTTTATGTGTATGTATTGCCTGCATGCATGCAAGTGCACCTGTGTTGTGCAGTACCTGCAGAGGTCAGAAGAGGGTGTTGGATCCCCCAGAACTGGAGTTACGGACAGTTGTTAGATACCATGTGGGTGCTGGGGATTGAACTTGGGTCCTCTGCAAGTGTAGCCAGTGCTCTTAATCACTGAGACATCTCTCTGGCCCGGGAAATAATTTTTTTTAAAGATTTAATTATTTTTTTAAAAATATGCGTGGGGGGGTGCACTAGAGGTTGAGTTGAAGGCCTGATGTGGGTGCTGGGAACCAAACTCAGGTCCTGCAAGAGCAATACATGCTCTTAACCATGGAGCCATCTCTTCAGCCCCAAGAAATTCTTCATGGGACTCATACATTGTTTTTGTGGGTAGGGAGATTCCAGATGATTTTGACTTTTGACTTTTATCTTTATGCTTTACCAGGAGAATTTTGTATAATGAATGTGTCATTTTCCACTAAAAACAAAAAGATAAAACATTCCGATTAATGTATAGTGTTTATATTTCAGTGGGAAGAAGTAAGAGGAAGTAAGAAATAGTTCTGGCATGGAACTGGAGAATCACATAAAAGTTATCAATAAAGTACTAGCCAAGTATGGTGCACCATCAATCCCAGCACTCAGGAAGCAGGGATAGGAAGATTATTGCAAGTTTAAGGCAGGTCTGAGTAACACAGTAAGTTCCAGACCAGCCAGGGTTACACAATGAGAAACTATCTCAAAACAAAACAAAAAGAAACTGCTAGCTGGGCTACCTGTACACTAGTACTTGGAAGGCTGAAGCAAGAAGAGGACAAGTTCAGCCAGCCTGGACTATGGGGTTAATAGTAAGTCCCGGCCTAGTATGCACAGTGTGATCCTGTCTCAAAAAGAAAAGATGGGACTGGCGATGTAGCCTCAGTTGGTAGCTTGTGAACCCAATGTGCATGAAAATCTGGGTTTATTTCCTAACACTGCAGAAAACCAGGTGGTGGTGGCACACACCTTTATTCACCTGGGGTGGTAGAAAAAGGAGGATCGAGAATTCCAGAACAGGGCTGGAGAGATGGCTCAGTAGTTAAGAGCACTGACTGCTCCTGCAAAGGACCTGGGTTTGATTCCCAGCACCCACATAGTGGCTACATCCGTCGGTAACTCCAGTTCCAGGGGATCTGATGACCTTTTCTGTCCTCCGCAGGCAATTGCACAACACAGATGCACTTATACATATGCAGGCATAACATTCATACACATAAAATAAAAATAAGTAAAATGTTTAAAAAAGGGAAAAAAAAGCAGGTGTTGCAATTCTAGTATCTGACAAAATAGACTTTAAATTAAAACTAATCAGAAGAGATAAAGAGGGCCATTTCATTCTGATCAAAGGAACAATAAACCAAGAAGATATTACAGTCATGAACATATATTCACCAAACTCTGGTGCACCCAACTTCATAAAAACAATACTACAGGACTTTAAGACCCAGATTAATCCCAACTCATTAATAGTAGGGGACTTCAGTACCCCACTGTCTCCATTAGATAAGTCAACAGGGCAGAGAGTTAACAGAGAGACACCTAAATTAAACAATACCATATATCAAATGGACCTAACAGACATCTACTGAGTATTCCACTCAAGCACCAAAGGACATACTTTCTATTCAGCATGCCCATGGAACCTTCTCCAATACTGACCATATACTGGGGCACAAAACAAAACTCAACAAATACAAAAAGATTGAAATAATTCCATTTATTCTATCAGACCACAATGCAATAAAGCTTACAATCAACAGCAGAAGAAGCCCTAGTCACCACATGAACACATGGAGATTAAACAACACACGCCTGAATGATGAATGGGTCAAAAGAGAAATTAAGAAAGAAAAGTATTCCTGGAACTAAATGAAAAGGACAAGACATGCTGAAAGCTGTCCTTAGAGGGAAGTTTATAGCTTTGCTCTAAGTGCCTATCAAAAAATAGGAAAGAACACAAATAAATAACATAACATTGCAACTCAAGACACTTGAAAAGCAACAAAAAATGAAATCCAAATCCAGCAGACAAGAAGAAATAACAAAAATCAGGGCAGAAATTAATCAAATAGAAACAAACAAACAAACAAAAAAAACAATAAAAAGAATCAACAAATCCAAGAGCTGTTTTTTTTTAAAAGATAGACAAGATTGACCGACCACTAGGCCAGTTAACCAAAAAGACGAAAGACTACCTCCAAATCAACAAAATCAGAAATGAAAGGGGAAACATCAGAACAGACACCAGAAAGATAGAGAACATTATAAGGGAATACTTTAAAAACCTATA